CTTCTTCTTCTTCTTCTTCTTCTTCTTCTTCTTCTTCTTCTTCTTCTTCTTCTTCTTCTTCTTCTTCTTCTTCTTCTTCTTCTTCTTCTTTCCCTATTCTTATTCTTTTAATCTCTTCTCCCACAACACACACTACCTTGAAGAGTTATTAATTTTGAGCAATGACGTATTTTAGAGCTTCACCCCTACCACAGGTGATTTCCAGTATTAGAGCTTGATGTGCGCAAACCAAGAGCATTCCCCTTCTCTTCCCCCACTCTATGTTGAGAAAAACCTGTACATGAACATAAGCTCTCGGGAAATCCATACATCAAAATGCGTGACACGATATCTCCAGGAATATTTTAAAAAAGGGCCGGTAGCGCAAGCAAGCTCTCCCTCACTACCACGCAAGCAAGCAAGGATACGCAACTATAAAAAAGACAGATTTTTAGTTTCAAAACTTGGCAAGATTTTTCAAATACAATTCTTTGATATCTTGATAGTCAGATAGAACATTTGGTCTCTGATCTCATGGTCTGAGTAACTCAAAACATTCCCCCTCCCTGCTGCTGTTGCTGCTGCTGCTGCTGCTGCTGCTGTTGCTGCTGTTGCTGCTGCTGTCGCTGATGCTGTTGTTGTTGCTGTTATTGCCTTTGCTGACGCTGCTACTGTTCATATTGTTGCTGCTATTGCAGTTGTTGCTGTTGCCGCTGTTGATACCGCTGTTGCTGTTGTTTTTATGGTTGCTGCTGTGACTGCCTTTGTTGTTGCTGCTGTTACTATTGATGTTGTTGCCATTGTTATTGCTATTGTTGTTGCAATTGTTATTGCTTGCTGTTATTGTTGTTTGTGGTGTTGGTTGTATTATGGATGACGACAACATCGACGACGATAGTGATGGTCATGATGATAATGATATTTTAGCTGGTGACAATGATGAACCCAAAAAAACCCTAACACCCCTCCCCCCCAAAAAACCCCCCCAACCAACACCAAACGATAGGAGCGAATAACGCACAGCAATAATTGCATAGCAAAGCAAAGCAAAGCAAGGCAAAGCAAAGCAATGCATAGCAAAGGAAAGCAAAGAAAAGCAAAATGAAGTAAAGCGTAATATTATGCTGTCCTTGTTACCTTTGTTCAGCGCTGCTGCGACACAAAACATTCTGACGCCGGGCCTTTCGCTTGCCGCTGCTCAGATATTGCTCGCTGGCGCTCAGGAGACTGGTTCTGCTACCACGTGAGAAAAATGAATCCTTCCCCCCCCCTCTCTCTCTCTCTCTCTCTCTCT